GTTCACAGAGTGAAACACAAAGGTTGAAAGGTTTGACGGGAGCAAAAAAGTAAAGACTGAACACTGTTAAAATGCTCCAAGACTCCAACCTTGCAGCTTTTCATTGTAGTCTTTGTAATTGTGAACCTCCTGCTGAACTATTCAATCAAAAAGTCATTTGAATGGACATTTTTCAGAGCTCTGAAAAAACATTGCCAAATTGTTGTTGAAAAGATCTTGCGTCACTAGGCGGTGAAGATGCAGGGGTTCTTACTTGAAGTCGACACTGGCACATTTTCCAGCCATGCTTTCCTTCGTTAAACACCTATAATGAACCACTGGAGCTGCTTTGTATCCAGCAATGACTCAGGTCTGATGCTGTAACTTTGAAGAGACCTTGCATTTAGTGGTAAAGTATTTTCAGAGTTTTGAGCAAAAAATGCAAGCCTACTTTAATCTCAGAAGTTGGAAAGGATTTGCAAGGAGCCAGTTGGATCGTCTAAAGATCTAACTCACACCGTTTCGTGAGATTAGTTTAGACATCCAAGGGTCTCTGGGGCGAGAGCTGTCGAGTAACCCTCTGCATTTTTATATACAGTAAGTTGACTGATGTAGTTGGGTATCTGTGACATCATGCAATTAGGAGTCAAGAAGCCGGTATACATGCAAAATAGAAAGAAAATCAAATAGGTTTACCAAACATCTTGTGGGACTAAGCGTCTTTACTTGATTTATATAGAAATGTTAAGACTTAGAAAAACAAGAGCAGTTTTTCCTTTACCTGATGCAAAATATTTTTTTTATTTATGGCACAACTTTCGAGCCATGAAGGATCAGCTATGTTAAGCAGCATGATATATCTTTCCACCCGCAGCTACGTCACTATGCATTGATGGTTTATTGGATTCCTGCACAATAAAAAAATATGGATTCCCAACTGGGCACCAGTGAATTATGTTTTTATTCACTATTATAGTTGTTCATGCCAGAATGTAGAATGTGATAACTAATTTAAAACGTGTGATAATTTTTTAAAGCGTTAACAGCATATTTAAGGTTTTTGGTGGTTATTGGACTGTATTAATTCGAAGACATCTTTTGTTCAAAAGATCCTTGAAAACAAAAAGAAATGCCTTAAATGTTTGTTTGTATTCAAAGAATGTAAAAAACAGATTCACTTTGGCTTTAAAATGAGATGATTTAATACAGTTCAATACAAAAAAATATTTCAGCATTGAAAAAGTCAAATACTTACCTGCTTTGATATGTTTTGCCTTTCAGTTGCCTCATTGTATTGACTGCATCGTGTAAGGATGGAGTGCAGTTTAGTCTCAGCATTTTGGACTCTAAATTAAGCCTGACTCAGCATTAAGGGATCGAGAAAGACTCGTGGTGCAATAGCCTCGTAATAGACAAATGTGAGCGTATTTCTAAATTGGTAAGACTTTATTACATTTTAAACTTTGGTTCTCTCAAGTGCAATATGATATTCAATGGATAGGACCGTAGGGTAGTTACTGTACATTTGTGGGGATAAGGCATTTCCAAATAATAAGTTGCCCTCATATACCATAGCAGTTTTTGGATTGTGGAAAAATATAAAACAAATAAAAACCAAAAACATGTGAGATTTGACTGAAACAAGCACAGAAACATAAGTCTAAAAATTAAGAGTTTTTCTGATGACTTTTTTCAGAGAAGCTGAGAATGACTCAGAGTCCTCTTAGTCATTATGACTATGAGGAATCAGAATGACTCACTGGCTATAAACAGATGCTTCAGTATTATAAGACCACCTGTCAGATTTAATATGTATTAATTTTAAAATATTGCAAAAGTAAAGACAAATAATCCCGTCTTGGGAATAGAATACAGAAAAAAAATAACGTTAACTATTAGTCTGAAAATCAGAGAACTAGATTCAGACTAATTACACAGCAAGTGAATGAGAAAATCAGCAGCAGCAGAACTGGCAGTGTTAAAAGTCACTAAAACGGGGAAAGAGTTTTTTTTTTTTTTTTTTTTTGGCCTGTAATGTCAATCACTATGAGTGAAAAAAGCAGTTGTCAATCTACCAGTTACATCGCGTAGGTAACTGACAGATCGATTTCTACCATTTAATGTGAATGAAAGTTATCCACCAATTAGGATTTTCCAAGTGGGCCTGAGAAACACCGTAAGTAGGGGCCTTTCCAGTCTTCAGGGGCCAGTGTACTGGTCCAACACACCTGAATCAAGTGGTTCAATTACCTCCTCAGTACGCAGTCATCTGTTCAGAGTCCTGATATTGACTTGATTATTTCAGGTGTGTAGAAGCAATGCCTTCTTCAATGCCTGAAGCTGAAGACCTCTGTCTTAACGTTTGACAGATGTACTCTTAACTCCAAAATTATTCACACCCCTGACAGATTCAGCTTTAAAGATTCTTTGAATTTTACAAACATGATTTTTTATTTTTTTTCCTGACTGGAAGTAAATGAGTCCAGTCTCAGCTTGAAGGAGGGAGTCAAATATTTAGAATATGGCAAAGTGACCTAACCTGAAAACTTCTAGATTAATTATCAAATATCGTTGGAAACATGAAAAAACTGGACAGCAAATATAAGTAAAGTTTGATGATAAAGATTCATCCTCTCTTTATTAGGAAAGGTTTAAATATTTGTAAATATTCCTTTTTTTTAAATAAGTGTAGACAAAAAATCAGAATATGTTTAACTAGATACAGCTTTCACATTGTTCTTACCTTTTGAGAGATGCCCGTCTTGTTTCCTGTTAACACTTTATTTAATGAAAATGAAGTTTCAATCTAAATATTTTGTGTGTGTGAATAATTTGGGGTTCTTACAGTTTTACTCTTTTTTACTCCACTTTCAGTGCATTCCTGGAATACCAAAAGACAAATCTGAAAAATATATTTAAAATTTACAAAAAAAACACTTTTGCAACAAACAGAACTACCACCATCCTGTTTAATACTCTGAACTTGAACAGGAAAAGTGCTACAAGTTACATGGAGTTGTCTACTGAAGAAATCTCTACTTACATGCAGGAGGATTCAGTTTTTGGAGTTAAATTCCTTCACAGCTCACATATTTAGAGTGCTTAAACTTCAGACAAAACCAAAACACTATCAGAGGTAATAATTGTATTTGACATTCCTTATATCATTTCACAGCAAATGATTCATCTGTTTGCAACTGTTACCAGCTGAAGTTAGGTATAAGCCATCTATCTTTAGTTTATTCACTAGACTAAGAAACAGCACACAATGTGACAGAAACCTTTAACAGGTAGACTTTACTACAGTCTGGCCAACAGGCATATAACATACTAAAACGAAACACACAAACATCTTGGTAGATGTTCTGCTTCAAACCTGCAGGAATGACTAGGATGAAGTAGGAGTTGAGAACTGCAACATCCTTGGTGAGCCTTTATGAGCAAAAGATTCAGATTGATTCTTCATCTCGAAGAAGAAGAAGGAGCAGAGGAGGAGGAAAACCATAAATAAGAATGGAAAGCTATATTGAGTAGACTAAGCAGGCCTCCTTTGATGCTGCCAAGCTGCGTTCACAAAGACACGACTTGCCTGCACTGGAATCCACAAACACGAACCTTTTTCTCTCTCTCTCTCTCTCTCTCTCTCTTTTTTTTTCAGATTTTTAACCAAAGCAAATTTGTACGGTGTCTTGACAAAACAGAAACTCTGTACTTTCAAGTGTAAATGAGAAGCTTCACTGTGAGAAAGAAATCCTGAAACTCTAACTTGGCATTTGTTTAGCTGCTACCATAATCAACCCCTAACAAGAAGGATATTATCCTGACCCTGTTATCTCCATCGACTCTGATCGTCACTAAAGCCAAATAAACCTGATTTATCTTCTGATATCATGTTCTTTTTAAAGAGAGTGAATGTTGTTAGTCAACTTTAAGTTAAAACATGTCAATTTCCTGCTGTCGAGATGAATTTTATTTATGGATTTCTTTATTTCTGTATACTAGATGCGTCTTTACCAACAATTAACATCATTGTCAATCCTTGACATAATCAATTCTACAATATGTCTACATATTTGTACCCAAAACGTACATTTATAAGGGGAAAAGGTTCAATTCAGATCTTCAGGATTTCTCATGAACACTGTTTTAAAAATATGTTTTTAGAAGAGTTCAACTGATAACATTTTCTAGCGAGGTGATCATAACAATGTTTTATATTAAAAAAGAAAGGATCATAGATGTTTCATGAATTTTAAATGCATATTTAATGAAATAAAATAAGTGCAACATAACATAGGATGCTACATCAGCCATGCACAAGGATTATGTGAGCTGCATGAAATGTAATGCCCATACATTATAGTGCCTTCAGGCTAGCTGTAAAACACGACATCAACGTCCAAAGTACAGTATAAAACCCAGAGTGTGGAGAGATAACACATTCAAATTGAATAAAATGTTTTAACCTGGCAAAAGAAAAGCCTTGGAGTAAAGTGGCAAAAGCACCAAAAAACACCATAGATGGGAAAGTGGAGATATAAAAGGAATATGGGATTATCTGGGTGTCAAGTATGTGTTGGAGTTTTGGTAGGAGAAGAATTGCTGATTGAATGGGATAACACAAAGGCTCACAGGCTCTTGATTTAGCATATTTTTGGCTAACTTCCTGTTAAGTTTTTGTCTTGTATAAAAATGCTCTATGGTCCTCATTGGGTGTTAAAAGAAGGCAGTTTAATTATTTATGTATTTATATGTCTTGTGTAAAATCTGAGGTGCAACATTTAAGGCATGTGATTTTCTGATTCAGTGTGTAGTGGTCTATACATTTCACACAGTGGAGATCAGTTTCAATCCAAAACAGATCACATTGTGTTAATCTGTCAGGATGTAATGCACTGTTTGAGCATATTTATATTCTTAAATAAAGTCATGTTTGTATGTTTGTAATTTGACACGTTCTCTTTTTTCACACATTTTTTTAACTGTTATCGTCTTTCTCTTTTTTTTTTTTTTTTCCCTAGGTGGAGAAGTCCCATATACCACCCTTGCAACCAGGATGATGATGGGATTTTGGTGGATGTTTGCTCTCATTGTTATCTCTTCCTACACAGCCAATCTAGCTGCTTTCCTCACCATCTCACGAATAGAGAACTCTATACAGTAAGTACCAACAAATTATGACCTCGTAAGAGAAGTTCCTAAAAAAAAAAAAAGAAACAAAAACAAACTCAAACTTCTTTATGTTAGCAGCACTTATCAGTTTTTGCTAAATACATTTGGGGCAGATTTATAAAATATGCACTGGTCTGGTGTCAGAGCGTCAGGAGCGACTGCATACATCCATACCCAGGACTACAACCATTACATTCCTTGGGTTAAGGTGTCCCCTAAACCAGAGACAATTTTGGAAGCATCTTACTGATTCTGAGAAAACCCATGAGTCTCATTTATAAAGGATTGCATAGGTTTCGTTGTGTTTTAAAAAATAAGTTCAGCTGTCTACTTAGAAATTTTAGAACCCTTTTTGCTCCTCTCGGCATGAACACACACATGTGCAAATACACAATCTTGTCTCAATCATTTATCACATTGTGAGGTGGTGTCCTCTCCTTTGCAGAAGATGAAAGTGTACATACAATGAGGAGAGATAGTAGTAAGATAAGAAGCATGGAATTAGTTGTAATTTAATAATAATAATAATAATAATAATAATCTTTGTCATAGAAACCATGCAATAAAATGATATGGATTATAACGAAATTGGGTGATAAATTGTACAAGAGGGTATTTAATGC